CATTCTTTGAAACCCTAATTTGAAATGAAAAATATCCCCAAATTGCTTGAAATCACAAATCGTAACCATAAAATGAGAGGAAAACAACATCCAACCTAACTAAACAACAAATCGATTGAAATCCCTAATTTTCAAAAACCTAATTTGAAACCAAAATTTCCCGAAATCGTTGAAAACACAAAAACAAACGGTAAAAGTAAAGGAAAACAACATCCATCCTAATAAAAACCCATTAAATCGGCAAGATAAGCCTTCGATTTACCTTGGTCTTGTATCGGATCGAAATCGCCTCGAAATCACCTTTGAGAGAAACGGCGTTAGGGTTTTCTGAATTTCGCAAAAAGTGAGTAAAAAAAAATCATCTTATATTTGTCCGGTAAAAAATCCGGTTAGGTTTAAAAGTAATTCGGTAAAATTCGGTAAAATTCGGTTTGGACGACTTATAATTAAGTCGTCTGTTGATACTATACATCCGACTAAGTCGTCTGCCTTATTAAATATATTTACCAGACGACTTAGTTATAAGTCGTTCAGACCCTAAACCCTAAACTAAATTGACTAAATTAACTAACTAACCACGTTATAAAATCAAATTATACTTAAATAGAGTTTACTATACATAGAAATAAACACACTTAGGTAAATTTTTAATTTTTCAAAAAAACATTTATGCTTTCGAAAATCTGACCCTAAGAAACATATACAATACTACAACATATGTTGGTAAACCCAAAACCAAAGAATGTCATCACTCACTACTTTCACTCATCTATGTTAAAAATAATTAAATTTTGTTCTATCTTAATTCATATCTCTTAAAATTAGTGTTAATTACATGATTTCAATTTTTCACTTATCTAAATATTTTTTACAATTATTTTAAATTATTTTTAAGAGTAACTATACTAGACGACTTAGTTGAAAGTCGTCTGAATAGAATACTTACGGGGGTTAGCCGACTAATAATTAAATCGTCTGACAAATCTTCCGTCTGGATGACTTTCCAGACGACTTAAAATATTAGTCGTCTACTAAGTCGTCCAGGCTTTATGAGTATGTTTTAAGAATTTGTGTTAGACTTCTTAGACGACTAATAATTAAGTCGTCTGACAAATCTTCCGGCTGGATGACTTTCCAGACGACTTAATTATTAGTCGTCTACTAAGACCATCCACAATGGTGTTACTATGATTTGTACATAGAGGACAAAGGAGTAGTAGTTATAATAGTTGATCATCCATTACAAGTCATAGGTTTAAAAACATTTTGAAACAAGGGAACAACATGGAAGTCATCCATTACAAGTCCACTGGAAGCAGATTACAATAAGACAATAGCAAGACAAACATGCATCATTTAGGAAGAGACGAGGAAGTTGAGGCACCATCCGCAGCATCATCCCCTTGAGGAGGTGTATACTGAATCTCAGTAAAACTAGGACCGAAAGGAGTCACATGAAATACCATGTCTCCTTCCTTTTTGAACACGACAATGTCACTGATGCAAAGAGAGTGTGCTTGGGTGAAGGCTTCCCAACCATCGGTGAGTTTTCTTTCTTCTTGTATAACTTCCCAAGTTGGGTGTGAAGCGTCCGATCGTAGTGTCCATTTTCCTTGGTTCGGCTTGCCTTCTATGTGTTTTGAGTAGAAGGCAAGTGGTATTGTCTACAAGTCAACAAAGGAGAAGATAAGCAAAGGAAATAAACAGAGGAGAAATAGAGCGTGTGTATACCACGCCAATGTAGAAACCAGGAAGCAGAGGCTTCAAGAAGTGAGGTTCATGCTGATTCTCCATCTGCAAACAAGAAACGAATTGAAAACATTTTAATTCTAAGTCGTATGGCTCGTCCACCTGGAAGACTTATATTAAGTCGTCTGGGTCGTCCACCTAGAAGACTTTCCAGACGACTTAATTATAAGTCTACCAAGACTTCCAGTAGAACATTTGAAAGCTGACCAGACGAATGAGAGGAGAACAACATCAAACCTAACTAGACCACAAATCGACTGAAATCCCCAATCTTTGAAACCCTAATTTGAAATGAAAATATCCACAAATTGCTTGAAATCAGAAATCGTAACCGTAAAATGAGAGGAAAACAACATCCAACCTAACTAAACAACAAGTCGATTTAATTCCCCAATTTCTGAAACCCTAATTTGAAACCAAAATTTCCCAAAATCGTTAAAAACACAAAACCAAACGGTAAAAGTAAAGAAAAATAACATCCATCCTAATAAAAACCCATAAATCTGCAAAGAGAAGCCTTCGATTTACCTTGGTCTTGTATCGGATCGAATCGCCTCGAAATCACCTTTGAGAGAAACGGCGTTAGGGTTTTCTGAATTTCGCGAAAAAGTGAGTAAAAAAAACATCTTATATATGTCCGGTAAAAAATACGATTAGGTTTAAAAGTAATTTGGTAAAATCCGGTTTGGCGACTTATAATTAAGTCGTCTGTTGATACTATACATCCGACTAAGTCGTCTGCCTTATTAAATATATTTACCAGACGATTTAATTATAAGTCGTCTAAACCCTAAACCCTAAACCCTAAACTAAATTGACTAAATTAACTACTAACCACGTTATAAAATCAAATTTTACTTAAATAGTGTTTACTATACACAGAAATAAACACACTTGTAAATTTTTAATTTTTCAAAAAAACATTTATGCTTTCGAATTTCTAACCCTAAGAAACACATAAAATACTACAACATATGTTGGTGAAACCTAAACTAAAGAATATCATCACTCACTACTTTTACTCATCTATGCTGAAAACAACCGACTTTTTTTATATCTTAATTTATATCTCTTAAGACATATGTTAATTACATAATCCCAATTTTTCATTTATCAAGATATTTATTACACAATTTTTAAATTATTTTTAAGAAAAACTGTCCTAGACGACTTTCAATTAAGTCGTCTCGATGACTTGCGAGGGCTAGAAACGTAAAATAATACTTTTTTTTTGTTTGTTCACAAGGGGTTGGTTGTAATTTCAATAGCCTTTTAAGTTATTTTTGCATTTGATTCAAGTTTGGGTTTACTTTTGCATTTCAACTCAAGTTTTGAGTCATATTTGGCAATTTTCCCTAAATAAAAAGATAATATATAGTTGTACATATAAATTTAGACCTATGTTAATACATTTATTTTTTATAAAATATTATATAGTTTATGAACTTTAACATATTTTAATGATGAGTGATAATTTATTTAAATTAAAAAATTAAAAATATAAAATTTGTTAATTTACCTATTTAACTTTATTTTCATAATTAATTCATATAGACTACTTTTTTTTATATAATACATAATTTAATTATAGAATTTAGAAAAATAGCCTAGAATTTGTTTTCTTGGTTTTTAATAAAATATTAGTTAATCTTGATTTATAATAAGGTTATTTTACTAATTTCGAAATTCTTTAATCTGTTATGTTGTAAAAAAATATTTCAATTTTTAATTAAGATTTTGTTAGATTCTCTGTCAACAGATTTTACTATAATTAACAAAATAAAATTCAAATTTATAATTGGTTTAGCATTAATGTAAATAATCAAATCAAATATTTCATATTAGATAATTCTTTAAGTGGTCCCACTATGACTTGTTAATAGTAGAATAAAATACGACCCTAAATTAATAGATTAGATTTTTATTAGTTCTTTTTCTTTGTAATCATTTGCTAGTATCTATTCTATTAAAATAGAGTCATTCTTTTTATCTACTGATACAAGTTGTCATTTAAATTTAGACCATTTCTAGAGTGTTACAAATAATACAAGTTATATAGTTGATTGAACCGCATTACTTAAATTAAACCGACGGTTATTTATGGAATAGAGTTTTAGGCTTACTTTTGTTTTTATGACATTTAATTGTTTGGTTTTTGGGCTTAATATTAAAGAAAAACTCCAAAAACATTAAAGATAAACTTTGCACTTTAATGGATAAAAAATCAATTACTATTTTCAGGTCAAAAAATATTTAATATTTTCAACAAAACAAAATTATCTATTATTAATCATTTATTTAAATCATGTACTTTAAAACATGTTAATATCTTTTAGCCCAAAAATTTTAATTTTTTCAACAAAACAAAATTATCTATTATTAATCACTAATTTAAATCATGAACTTTAAAATAAGTTAATATTTTTTATTTTAAATAACAATCACCTTATCTTGATAAATTTTAATGGTAACTTTTAAATAATTTATTGTTTTTATTTTCTTAAATAATTTACAGATTTAAAAAATATGTAAAGCAAAACCAAAAACCAAATCTAAAAACTAAAATTCAAAACCAAAAGCTGAAAACGCAGGTTATATTTTTTGTTTTTTTTTATTTATAAAATAAACTATTTCAAAAATTTTAGAAAATTATTTTGTCACCTTTTCAGTTTTAAATTACATGTTCGATTAATTGAGATTTGTTTGTTGGTAATATCAGTTCAAACTAACTCAGCGGGTCTAAAAATTAAAAAACCAAACCAAAAGCTGAAAATCAAAAATAGAAACTTAAAAAACTAAAAACCAAAAAACCAAAATTTAAAACAAAATCTAAAAATAAAAACTGAAACTAAAAACTAATGAAAAACCAACTATCACTACATATTTTGGTAAACTAATTTTATAACAGAACATTCTTTAAATTAAGACAAAACCCAATTATATAAATTTTTAATCATAAAAAATTTTCATTTAAATAAAATCTAGTTCTCTTTAATTGGTAGTATTGTTTGCCGGATGACATAAAAATAAATCTACATTTATAGAATGATACTCAACTTGAACATTTGAAAATCATTTCCCTTAATTTATCATCTTCCTCAGTTATCTTTGTTGTTAAGAGTCACAGTATTGTGGATACTCACACCTGCAAGGATGATTTCTCACCTGCAGGCAAAAAAAGTTTAAATCTTTCTCCATGAAATGGTCACACGGTCGTCTAGAAACTATTGTAAGTTCTCGATAATATTTACCTTCCGTAATGTGAAAGATACCCTTCTCGGACTTCTTCTGATCACTTTATCCTTCACCTTGTCAATCTATTACAGCACAGTAGCAAGGAACTTCAACGGATTAGCAATCGGAAGCGCAACGGAGAGAGTGAAGCGAAGTAAAAACAAAAATAGTTTGTGGTAACAAGTATACAAACCTTGTGATGTGGAATGTAATGATTCCAAGCATACCGAGCTTCTCCGGATAATAAGAGCATAGACCGAGGAGGAAGATATAAAGCTTTCTTGATGCAAGTGGAGGTATCTGGCTTCTCTTCATCATCGGTGGTTGAGGCTACTTTCCATGTGGAAGCAGAGTATCTTCTGAACTCCATAATGCACGGACCAGCTAAAGAAAGGCTGAAAATGCAATCTTCAAATGCTGAATGCGTGTCAATGTGAGGCGCTAAACCCACACCAGATGGATACTCATTTACCTACAACAAGAATTCCTCAGCCATAAATGTCGTTCAAATGCATTATAAAGATTCTAGTATTGATGATGTACCGTTAACTGGTCCAGATTCAAGCTTGCTGGGTCATAGTCAAGGTTCGGGAACAGTGAGATTCTTTGGAGTATAGGGGAAACGAACGGTGGAAGCTCTCCGAGGCGGTTCTTGGTATCAACATTTCTTGTCCCGTAACAAAACTCATATCCATAGTGTTGAACACGCCGTTTGGCGAGACCAATCCAAGGCTGAGTATCAACAGCCGCAAGCAATTGCTGATAGAAACGATAACGATAAGGAACAAAAGAACTAGAAAAGAAATCAAGACTATACGCATATCACAACAGATAGTACCTGTTCTTCTTCGGCAGTGACGAAATCAGGTAACAGGAAGAGCCCTGGGATATTCAAATCTGAACCAGACAATGACACTGGGACACAATCACCCACCTGCGTCTACGCAAGAACAGAACAGTTCATATAAAGTGAAGTGGAAAAGAATGCTCATTGCAAAAACAACTGAACAAGACACAAAGCTTCTGTCCTTTTAAACGAACATCAACATTACAATACTTAAAGATCAAAACTTTATTCATCGTTACAATACTTAAAAGAGTGTTCATTGCACAAACAAGACACAAAGGTTCTGTCTTTAAACCGACATCAACATTACAATAACATAAAGATCAAAACTTCGAACAAACGTACCTGGGAAGGTGATTGAAGAACAGAGTATCGAATGTGCAGAGTCCGTCCATCGAGGTCCGGACATGGCCGACCACTCAACGCTTCTTTAGCGGATTTCGCCGAGAACGGATCTGCGAAAGAGACGATGACACGAACGCCGCTCTCGTCCGCCGGGTAGACGCCATTCACTTCACCGAAAGAAGAGAACACCGCCGCGATCGCGTCGTGTGACAGTCCAACCGCCGGCCCGCAGTTCGCGACGTACAGATTGGAGGAGTTGGGTTCTCCGGCGCCGGAGGAAGGGGATAATGCCGTCGGACGGACGAATCGCGGCTGAACCATTATCGTAACTAGAGACTGTTCGTTCTGGTTCCGACAAACTTGAGGTTTTGGTTTAAAGGCGGAGTGACTTCGCCGTAAGTTTAGCAAGCCACGGGTGTGTAGAGGCCCATTATACTTTGATAATGGGCTAATTTTCCACAGAGAGCATTATTACCCTTTTTTGACTCAACAGTCAACATCAATTTATTGGAAAAATCTTTCAAATTAAATATAACCCCCAATTATAAGATAATCCAAATGAAATATAAATGTCTAAACTTGCATTAAACTTAAAAGTTTGATATGGGCTTTAAAATGCTTAAATTGCTATCATTTTGTTACTGATTCCTAAGAATTAACTAAAATGAGAGAGAGACATCGGAGTGATTTTAATCCCTAGCTCCGACCGACTGATTTAGCTGTGCCGGAGACGTTTCTTCTTCTCCTTCCTCCTTTGTTCTTTGCTTTCCTTTTCCCATATCCAAACCGAGACAATATGCTTGCTATTCTGACGTGGTTGTTTCCTCTGGAGGTCGTATTGTGGTTGGAGACTATGCTCTTCATTTGGAGTTGCGGCGAGTCTAGGGTTGGGCGGAGAAAAGGAGGGTCGGATTTTAGGATTGAAGGATATGTCAGATCTAATTTCCCTTGTTCAGATCTAGGGTTTATCCTTCCCAGCAATGGCGCGTGAGGCTGACGACTCCTATAGCTCGAAATCACCACTTTATGTGACGGTGTGAACGGTGGAGGAGAGGTGTGATAACCGAAGAAGGAGGCTTGGACAAGATGAAATTTCCTGAAGCTTTCATCAGGCCTGTTTGCGTTTTTTCCATTGCCAAGATCCGCATTTCATTCCGGATTGCTGTCCGACTTAGCTATGGCGCGAGACAGCGAACGACGGTGACATGAATCAAAATTGGTCTGCACCTTTAGGTGATTATGCTGCTGGGTTACGGACTCGACTCATATCTTGTGGAACCCTCAGCTTTAAACTTAAATGTGAACCTGTTTTGATTCTTGGTTGCATTATGTTCACGGCTTCCGCATTTCATGGTCTTTTAAGAGCAGTTATCAGTCGGATTGTATGTCCGTTCATGGCTGGTGACAGTAAAAATTGAACGTCATTGGATACAAGCTTCTTTCGGAAACGCACTTTAGGGTGAAGATGCTATTGGCCACGTACATAATGCTGATCCTACGAGGCCATAGCTTACTGTAGAACTGTTTTTTTCGATTAGAACTTGTGTTTTAATGTGTTAGTAGTTGTTTCTTGTTTTGTGGTTGAATGTAGGGGTCTAAGAAGTGAGTCTCATTTCAAGTTGTGGAGTGAGCTCATTCTCATTGTGGTTGAAATGCAATTGTGTTTCACTCGGGTAGCCTTAAATCCAAACTAGTGATTCATGGTGTTACTAGATTACACCATTGCATCAGTGGTCAATTATGTAGAGGTCAAATCGTGTACCTTATTGAAATGGTGGATGAAAGTTGATGTTGAGCCAAAGAAAAAAAAGAAGCTAAAATGATGTTTACGCCCAAATAATGACCAGTTTTCACAGCAGAACTTGATGAGTTTAAGACTCTCTAGAATACCTATCATGATGGTGAAGTGGTATATGATCCAGTGAGACTCAAGCTGACTTCCTTGCAAGACATGCTTGCACATGGAAGCGTGTTTTCTTTTATGCCAACATGCCAGTCTCTTACTGAATTGATACTAGTAACTCGTCTTTTGCAAAATCAAAAAATAAAATCTACACTAACTTTTTCGCTTCTAAATCAAACTAAAAATATCTTACTAAATATTAAAGTATGCAGTTTTTATTATATTTTTTTGTCTAAAAGAACCAAACCAATATAAATATAATTAAATTATGTGTAAAAATTAAAAGATAAAGAAGTTGGATTTGTGTGGAATCACCTTAATCTGCTGGTTAAGGTTTAAAAAGCTCTTCACCCATGTCTGGGGTTCGAATCCCAGACTAAGCAATTTCTTACAGATTATAGGATGTAAGCCTTTCAGGAGTTTCAAAGTACTGTAGGCAGAGTCATTCACTGTGGTCGTCTGCCGCAAAGAGAGTCAGTCCATCGGGGATGTCGTACATGCAAAACCGTCCGTCGATCCAAGTGTTTCGGGGAGAACTTCATCGTGGAATTGTTATTTGTGGAGTTATCCATCAACATCGCATATGTTGCATGTACTTGATCAGCATATCTAATAAAGCTATAAATTATATAATGATGTAATGTGTGCTACACAGTATTAAGAAAAAAAAAAAAGAAATTAGACTTGCTACGATGTAGTTTTTTTTTTTTTTTTGAAAAGATTCAAGAACTGATACAAAAAAAAGAGAGGTTAAGAAATATGAACAAAGTTGCATCTACTACTAATAGGTAAGTAAGTGCATGTAATAATACATTTGCAATATCTCTCAGGCTCCATAATCTAAAACCCTCTAAATATAAAAAAAATGCAGAAGCTTCAGGTGGCATGCATCAAACTCTCTAGTTCAAGGAGAGGCATCATACGGTACTTTGCTCATACAGCATAATCTTCTGCTTCTACTTGGTTTTGTAGTGACTTTAGCATTATCTGCAAACAAAAAAATCTAAACATGTCTATCTCACCACTAGCTTTGTTCATCTCATCTATGAGAGAGTGTCTTACGCGATTCGAAAGCAAAGGCCTCTCATGGGTTCTATAAAGATTACAGGAGCTAAGGAAGAAGCTCGGTGATGCTGGAGAGTTAGAGTTACTTCTCAACTGTTACATGGAGTCTGCTCATGGTCCTTGGAAGTTTCCATATATTACTTTTTCAATTGACCATATTTGACTTTTTCAGAGAGGACTTATGGCGGAAAACTTCTCTAGAAGTCTTTTAATTCAAATTAAATGTTTTAGTTTTAATTTTAATTTCCAATTGCAAAACTAACCTATGCATACTTTCACCGACATCGAGCATATTTCATGTAACAGTTGAGAAGACTTTCCTGGAAGTCTTTCATCGGAATACTTCCCGGGAAGTCTTCCATTGAAATTCAAATTTCTGACACAATTCGGCAACTGCAAAATTGACTTGTTTATCCGAGAAGACTTACACAGAAGTCTATTCGTTTTTATTTTTGTTAACAAAGAAAAATTGGAAGAATTCTCTAAAAATACATAGAAAGTCAATTGCAAAACTAATCTATGCATTGAGCATAAGACTTTCGTAGAAGTCTTCTCGGTACGATAGAGAAAATTTCCAGGGAAGTCTTCTTCGCGAAACAGATCTTAAAAAAATTTAAAATCCTTCTTAGATCCGATGAGGTTCATGTTTAGTTTAATGAAAGTTATGCACTTGTTCTTGACCAAGAATCATGAACTTGAGTAACTCTAACAAATTTATAAATTAAAAAACTTGGATTTTGGGATACAATAAGAGAGGAAGTGAAAGGGAAATTGTTTGTGTGTGTAACAAATATGAATATGAAGATGTAGATGTTGATTTTATTTGAAGATGTAAATGTTGATTTTAGTTGCATTTAGAGTTTGAAATTGGTTATTCATGGTGGTTGGTGTATTGATGATAATGACAATGTTGTAAACAAAAGAGGAAGATGATGATGATCGAGTAAACAAATATTTCTGAAAATGAAAATTAAAATTACTAATGGCATTTTCGTGAATAGGTTGATATTTTCTAGGATGAATAGGACAAATAGAAGTTTTAAGAAATCATGAGTTAGTTTTGTATTGGATTTTTTGTTTTGAATCATTTTTTTTTCCAAAACCCCATACATTTCATATGATAAATATTGAAAATATATAGCACCATATATTTTAAAAAGTGTATACAACAGTTTTATTATATATTATTATAAAATTTTGTTCCGTCAAGAATAAAAATATATTTATTAGTGGTTTGTCCGTGTTTAACGCAAAATGTAATATTTTGTTTATATGTTTGTAGTGTGTAAGTGTATTTTGTTTTAGTTTCAAATATTTTGGATTTGATACTAAGAGTTTGGTTGATTCCCGAGACTTATTTAAATAGTTATGTAATTTGTGGGTGGCTAGAATAATGTGCTGTAGCTCGGTAATGATTTATGTTTTGTTAGATGCTGATATTGAAATGTATAAGAAGTTTGCGGTTGATCATATTTTTGTGTATTTGTTTCAGACCATTATAACAGTTTTATTATTTAATTATTTTTATTGAGTTCCATAAAATATCGAATATTATTTCATTATTATCAAATATACAGTGTTGCATCTTTTGTTGGTGTAATTCAGTATACTTTTCTATTATATAATCATAATTGCATGTGGGGTTAAGTTCTAGATTTGGATTGTAAAGTTGTACCATTTACAAATGTGGATGTTTATAGGGCTTATATTGTTTTGTTGGGACATGTTATATGATGTTGATGGTTAGAACATTTTGTTAGCATACGAGTCAAGTGACTTGCTAATTTGTTGTCAGGTGAGTTTGGGAGTTCTTGGTTTTAGTTTTGCATTTCATGGATGGAGCCGATTCTTAGACTTATCTTTTTCTTCTTTTCTTTTTTTTTGTTCTAAATTGGATTCTTAGCGGTGTATTTCCTCTTTGTTTTTTTTTTTAAATTCTCTATTGATAATCATGGACTTATAATATATCTATCCTTCTGATTTTTCGAGATGTTATCCCTTTTAAGTCGATAATATTCGTTTTACTTTATCTTTATAAATATCAAATTCGTTTCTTCTATCTCCGTATTCTTGGAAGTCATTTTCCTTCTATTGTTGATCATGACATCGAGGAAAAAAAATTCTCGTGAGTCCGAAAGAATTCACAATCGGAACAACGGAGCGGGATGGATTCGTTCTGGTGATGTGAGTGAAGCCTTCACTGAGGTCATTCACGAGGAGCCTCGACTTCCTCGTGTTTCTGCTCGATCCGAAGCCAAGGGTTCGGATGAACCGAAGACCGCGACTCTTTTGAGTTCTGGTAGTTCGAATAGCTCGGAGGGACACGACCGTCCTCCGAAGAAGGCAGGGATTT